AAAAAAATTATCCGTTCTATTGCGTTTTAATTTTTAAGTAATACCTAAGATATCAATGATGGTAATCATTCAATCGATGTTGATACTTTTGAAAAATGTCTGACAATATCAAAGCCCTTTGATATAATGATCAAAAAAATTAACCATTAGTGACAAATACGATTATTTACAAATGTTAAGAATACTTATTCAGAAGATATACAGCCGTACAAAGCAATTATAATATGATAAAATCATAATATTATCCATACRATTTTGATGTACCTACGTGATATTCACATCAAAACTAAAAAAATGTAACTTCACCGTATTGATGTAATTAATAATTCTGCGTTGAATTCAAAGGATTTAAAAAGTTTATGCCAAGACGAGGTAATTAAAAAACAATAGAAATCATAATAGGTTTCACCCTTGAAAAAATGTTCAGCAAACTCCGAAGAAACGTAAAGTTTAATTTATTCGGTCTTATTATAAAGGACCAGCGGTGAAGGACAATAGCGAATAACTAGCGGTGCACACGAATATTTGTTTTTCCCCTTGAAATTACCAACACAAAGAAGATCATTATACGTTCGGGACCTTACAAGATTTCGAAGCATTTTCACTCATAACCACGTAGATTCCAAGTGGCATTCCTTGGAACATWACAGACAAAACACTTCATTCCAGTGCAGTCTCTAAGATGTCTACCTGGCGCGTTTGATGACGCTCTCGATGCCCAAAACTTTTCAAAGATGTATAATTATTCAAACAACAAAATCTTAACTTGGACTGTACTTTTGTGTCAATCAAATCTACTCTTGTTCATCCTTATTATATTTAATAATAGTTAATAAAATAAAAGTAGAAAACTAAAACCGAAATTCTAATGTTGGCCAAACTTACTMATATAATTACTAGCGTATTGAAATAAACCGAATACATAAAATATTTACTTAGCTAAAATCGTATTTTTAATTTATTTTATTAATTATTACTACTGATATTACTTCACAGAAAAAATTGCAATATTAGTAATTTAATCTCCACAAAAACAAAAATAATATTAAACAAATGGTAGATTATAATAATTCCATTTTTCCATTTTGAAAAAAGGTGTTTAAGGAATTTGAACCAGTAGTTAATTAGTTTTATTAAGACGAATATAAATATTATATGACATGAGACAACTAGATTGACACACCAATATAGTACCCCAAAAAATGTTGGTCCGCTACTCTGAATATTTATAAGTTTTAACTAATCAACTACACGTTTGAAATTCAATTTTTATGTAATAAATTACTCCGAAAAATATTTTACTTCGAAGTATGAAACTAAAAAWGTATGTTACTCACCAAAATCGCCATGATTTACATAGATACCTACATACTTAYTAAATATAGAATAAATCTCAGCAAAAAAGTTCCAATCKTCTTGAATCAAGAATGTTCAATAAATCAAGGGTGTTTAAAAAAAAAAATGTGTATCTTGTCATTCGAAGTAATATATTATTATTAATACGTAATATTGTAAGGTAAATCTTAAGAAAAAAACAAATTTTTAGAAGACAGTGATTACATCATTTTAAAACGTTGACAAAACTGGCATTTATACTGGAACCATAATCATGATATTATATTAATGTATAGACCATACCCTACAATTAGACAAGCAATGAATGTATGGGAAACATCACAACGTTGAGGGCACTCGTTCTTTACTCGTTTACACGATATGTATGATAGTGCGGGACAGCATAATATGTAGAATGTAGATAATAGATATATAGATAGTTAAATTTCGTTCTCAAGACAACCTACGTCACTACGAAATGTTTGCACGCCGCTCGTAATGGTATTGTTATACACAGGAAGTTCTTGTCTAGTGATATGTTTAAGGTATATTGGTATCTACGACGAATATAAAGGAAAATTGCATTTTTTTTCGGTTATTACATATTCAATTGTTTGCAACACTGTTTGACTGAAACTTGATTATCATATTAGTACAGTAAAGCGATTTTACGGAAAAATAATGCAATTTTGAAGTTACTATACGGTTATCTAATATTTTAAAATGTTGGCAACACAGCTATTAGGAGGGACATTTAACGTTGGACGTTAAATACGTAAACGTTCCGCTGTCCTCTATGGAAGTTTAAAGTATTTACTTAAAAACGTATACGTATATCATATATCAGCTAATATAATAATATAAAACAATAATAATCTATTATATTTTATAAATTATTTATTATTTAGTGAATTGTATTGCTCTTTGTTTTTGTTTTAATTTACCTGGCAACGCTGTAATTTCATTATGTGGCGAATTCTACCAATTTAGTTCAATTGCAAGCAGCGTAAAATGACTCAATTAATTATTATGTTCAAAATTAAGTTAAATATTTAAAAAATTGTTTTTGATSAACTCCAAATAGTAAACAAGTTATATTTTCAAAATATTTGGTGTAAACATTTAAATAAATCAGCTTGTATACTAGAAAAAGATTATTTAAAACGATTCTAACCTAAACCAGGTATTACATTCAAAAATTATTAAATTATAAATTAACTGACTGTGTTGGATACATAAATAATGTATAACAATTTCATATAAGTATAATGTGAATCATATAAATATTTTATATACGAAAAAAATTATAAATCACATTTTATATTATTATATTTTTATACATACGAGTTTGTTTTTAATTTTTTTTTCTTTCGTGAAATATATGGAGTACAAACTTTGTGAATAATATGAAACTTAATAAACAGTGAACGACATTTCTATCATTCGACGTTTATAAACGATAAGCATTAGTTTGTATTAGATTTTCAAAAAAAAAATCATATGTGTTTCTTATTTGCTCACTGTCATCTGTGCCATGAAGTTGTAAAAAGTTTTGACGAACATTATTTTGGTAAACTCACTTCTTTCGGGTCGGGTTATTACCAGAATTCGCAAGTTATTTACAATGTTTACGAAATTAAAAGTTTTTTTTCCAGACCGTTATTTTTATACACGTCACGTGAAAGTTACATACAGTTCTCTTTAGACATGACGTGATTTCATATATCATGTTTTTTAAATCTGTAAAAACTTCAAAGACGATTATTAATCATTTTTTTTTTCCTTTGTTCCAGGAGAATGCGATGAAGCTTTGGGTATGGAATCCGGTGCCATCCCAGATTCGGCGATCACAGCTAGTTCGTCATATAACGTGCCGAATGTTGGACCCAGCAACGGGAGGTGAGAACGTACCTTATAAAATCAATGTTACCACATCATCACTTATTATTTTGTAAAAATTACTAAAACAATCGGACAATAGACCTTGTTTACTCGTATATCCGATGTAAAACATTTTTATTTATGACTAAAACGTCTAAAACCATTAATTTTACTGAGCAGTTATTTACAAAAAAAAAATGTGTACACACGTCACGGTGGTAAATAACTTATTTGAACCCATTGCTGGTATAGATATATACAACATAGAGATTGTTTATATATATACACCTAGACGCGGGTCTATAAACCTAACGATATATGTGTATGGATGGGAGTTATAGTGTAGGTACAGTATTAGATTGATCATTCCGTGAGTACCTTTGGAACGAGTGATAATAGATACGTATATATTTGTATTCCGAAAACGACATCACGGCGATCCCGCGAAATCGTGTCCTCTTGCGTGAAGTATTTTTTTATTTTTTTTTTCTATCATATAGGTATTCGTTATCTCGCTGTTTGAGACATCCTTCTCTCTTCCAGCATCTACATAAACTATTTCCCGCAATTTCCTTATTTCCAACCATCGTTTCTTATTATTATTATTGTGTGTGTGTGTGTGTGTATGTCGATATTATTCTTTTATACTAGGTAGTGTATTTTTTCGCTATTTTTCATATTATATATTGTATTATGTTCTGTGTAATTAATTATATTTCTTGTCATGTTTATTTTTCATAAAATTCAGTATTCCATTTATTAGTGTATTTTAAATAGTAACACATACTATGACAAATAAATGCAAATAATGAAGTTCTGTTCCTTGTTATAAATAATAAAAATAATATTAATGTATTATGGTTGTATACTATTATGATATTAACTATATAAATATTGAGAACTGAGAAGCGCTTATAACACAATAAAATTAGAAAATATATTTATCACATAATTCATTAAATTTTAAGTAGATTTGTGGTTTGCAATAACGTGTTTGATTTATGTTTGCGAAGTAAAATTCGTAAAAATCTAGACAACTATATTGGTTTTTCAGGTTAAAAATAAAATATTACTTGAATACAGTACTTAYTGAATTATTGAAAAGAAAACATTATATATAATATATAAAACATAAATGTCTAAGTTGACACGCAAATTTTATAAATACCATACTATCAGTTAATTTATGACTGTGCCGTATACAGTACTATTGTCTACACCAAAGTCAAACAAAATGTTTCTTTTTTTACTTTTGATGATTTAGTTTGGTGTGTTGTGTAAAAGATTCGATCGATTTTGTTAAAATTTGTAAAGATTTTACAAAGGATTTTGATTACAGTGTTCAGAGAAAGTATGATATAACACTCATACTTGTATGATATATTATTTTAACATATTTTAGCATATTTTATGAAATCCTGGTAAGACAGTATAATAATAATAATATTATATTATAATAGCTAATATTATATGTGGTATATTTGTATTGAATGCTCATTTACGCGATACCAACTCTCACAAACCATAGTGACTTGAGCAATTCACACCACTCATCATCGGTATTCATGAAAATATAAWATAATCAGGGTGGTACCTATATGTGTATGTTCGTTTTATCTAATTGGTTCTGAAATCTCGTGAGCCATAATACTAAATCGATCCTCGAATGTAGTCAACAAATGCATGTTATGCATATAATAGCATATACATATACGATATTATAKGCTTATGTTAGAGGTATTACATACCGAAACCGTTCAAAAAAGCTGCAGTAAATGACCGCTTATCTATTAGCACCGGACGATATGAGTGAGATGACGGCTGCACATTGCACTCCAGCAGGCAAACAATTATAAGTTAGGTACTCGCACTTAGTATGCACAGTGGACAGGAATGTTATTGGCGAAAGAGTTTGATCCTGATATTTTCATTTGGTATTCGATTTTCTAATGCGTGTGTCATTGGCCCAAATCTAATGTGTGATACGCGATACGGTAATAATTTACATATGAATCGCAAATGCGCGTTTATTGGCAGGCGATCGTCGTTCGAAAATTTAACTTAAACAAATAAATCTGAACTACGAAAGAATACTAATAATATGTTGGTACATAACAATTGATGACTGACCGAGAGAAGAACAATTTAATTTACAGTGTTTAGTTTCGTTTATCTTTAGATTGATTGCTTTTAAAATGTTTCGATATAAGCATGAATACGACTACTATAGGTTAAGTGCTTACTTATYTGTTAGAAATAGATACTGGAAGGTGTTTACCCTAAAATTTTTTGATTAACAATAATTTGTTTTGCAATGATCACTATTGTCGCATTTTGTCGTTCGCACGTCTTGAATTATATTTTAATTAACAAAAAAAAAAAAAAACAAATCTCGTCTTACGTATAGGAAGTTTTAAAAACTAGTGGCAAATAATTATTCTGTTGGATTTTTTTATTTTTGTCAAACGCACACGTCGATATTACGAATATTATATTTTTCATACAGTTTAATCAGCTTAATATTATGCCATAGGTAGTCGATTTTACGAATACCCCGCTTATTGCATAGCACCAGTGTCCCGATAAAAAATATATGCTTTAAAGATCGAAGGGGCGAGTCCCTCGACAATAAAATAATGATAATTGATCGCGCTCGAACTACGTCCTATATAGGTAAATAAACGTCCGGTGGGCTCGTCTGATTATAATCTACCTACGCGATCTGGTCCCATGAGTGAAATGGGATTCKGAGGCTGTGCGCATAACATCTCGCATATGCGCTTCATCAAAACTCCAGCGATCTATATTAATATAATATGTATAGATGTATATGATTTGATATATTTATAAGGTTCTTAGTAGCGTGCATGCCATAAATTGCGTTTTAAGCATTATTATATGCGGCCCATCACCGTAATGCAGCCGACCGTGAAACGTACACGTCAAAACGCGTAGGTATTATATATTATATTAATTAACCTCGTTTTAATACCTGCAGCGGCAACAGTATCAGTCACCCCACGTTATTATAATATACACCACCTACAGCAACAGCTGTGAGCTAAAGACGACACTGGCGAAGCCAATTTGTTATAATTAGCCATATATACGCATAATAATATTATATTGGTTTAAGACGTAATTTTTGCAAGGCTGAGGGAAAAAAACGGAAATGCCGAGAGTTTCGCTCCCGTAGCGTGATGTGTACATATATTATAATTTATATAATATTATGTCTATGCGTCATTGCATTAGCTTCTACAAAGTACATACTGTGTAGAATTTTTTTTTAAACAATAAACACTTGTTATTTAAAAAAGCATTATTGTTCATAGAAATATTTATTTTTTTCGTAATTTATGAGGTTATTATAAAACAACATTTTAGTGTATAAACTATAAAGTTATATAATTTTTTTTAAATATTTAATATTATTTTTATTGTCCGATTATTTGAGTGGTGTGGCACGTGAATACTCCGCAAAATTTTGGTCCATGACATATATATTTTTTTGATTGAAATTTCTAGCAAAATATTCAACGCAATGACGTTAATAGTCAAAAATATAATTACATTTATGTTCATAAATGGTGTTTCGTATACGACACTCAAGCCAACTCCGGCCAATGACTTATTATTAGGTAAAATAAATAGTATCAAAAACGATAGTACTTTTCTAGATAATGAGAGTTTACGGTTAAAAGAATTACCCGGCAGAGTATATGTATGTATATTATATGTATGTGTGTGTGGTCTCGTATATTACTGTGTACTGAAGAGATTATAATAAAACACAAAAAATACAAAGTACTTATATTATATATTATTCCGCGGGGAAAAAYAACACCACATGACTTTTATTGCTACCGGTGCCGACCCGGATTTGATTAAATTAAGCGACCTTCCTGGCATTATTTCATAATTAGCAGGGACTTGGCCACGGCAACAATACAATCTTCTGACTAGCCCGGCTTAAGCACGCCTCTGCCTGCCCGCTGTTTTTAAGGTCGGGGTTATTCTACGCGTTGTGGACGGCTTCCAAAAAAAAAAAAAAAATACTATTAATTTAGCGAACTGACTAAAAAAAAAAAAAAAGTAAACAAAATAAAACTATGGAATACAAACAATAATTAACCTAGAAAAATAACACCGGAATTCCTATGCATATTAATAATGTTGTTGTATGTGTAATTTAAAATCAGATCAAATCGACTTGGCGTTTAATAAATTTGACTGACATATCATACCTAATTATGGTTATAACGCGGTTTTCGTTCTAAAGCATTAGACATATAAWAGGATATGAGATAGAAATGACGAATATCCGATTTCAATAATTTGTAATTTTGCGTAGGGACATTAAATTATGAAATAAATGTACACGGAGTTACAAATGCGCGTGTCTCTAATACTTGAAATCAATACTTAAACACTCTCAAATATTTTTCAATTAAACTTGTATGCATTCATACATTATTTTTTTGTTAAATTGTAATGTTATTACGTAAATCAGGTATAATGATGTACTAAAGAATTACTAATTACGTAATGATAAAATCATTAAATTATAAATCACACTATAATATTATGTATCTATCACGCTACTTAGTATCAACGTTATTCCTGTTTRTACACAATCCAATTTAATGTTGTTTGCAAATATAAATAAATATAAGCAAATAATAATTTGAAAAAAAAATTATAAATTTTTATGACACAAATTTTAAGCACTGGGTTTTAAATGAATTAAATGAATTAAAAATATTATGTTTACTATACATTCCTTATAGTGATGGGATTTTCTTAAAAACCTTTTAATTCGTAAGAATGAACTTATATTTACTTTAAACTTCACTAAAGACATCGGTTCATATTTAATTTAACGTCATTAAAAGTACATATTATAAGGTTTACCGCATAAGAATTATTATGACAATCACTTCGAGTTTGACATTTTTTTTTCTAAAATAAATTCAATYAATATAGATTATGAAATAATGAGTAAATTTGAAATAGAA